TGTGTTCCCGGACAAAGGGGGGGGGACGGGGCCACCCCCCCCCCTTCACCAGGAAGCTATTTGTACATGTTCCTTTTTCCACGTCCAGGCGACCCGGAAGATCCACCGTCGACTCCCTCCTGTTTTAGAGCACTACGAGGCGCTGTATCTTCCTACCCCCAAGTCCGGGCCTTTGTGTGTGAGGTACTAGCCACGAGCGTGGTTGAGCCCTTGGAGGAGGAGCCCTGTAGACGCCCAGCTGAAGCCCGAGGTCTTCCGGGACGACTGGGAGGCCGACTCCCCAGAACTGTGGGGACGGGACGGTCAACCAAGGCCCCCGAACCCTACAGGGCCCCCCAGGGGGCGGCCCAGCTCTGGGGCTTGAGGGGGCTTCCTTGCCCCTTTGTGGGTGTTGGGGGGGGACACTGAACCCGGAAGGGAAGGGGCTGCGGAGGGCTGGGGGGCAGTCACCTTCTTTTCCTGGCCGTCGGGGGACTCAGGGACAAAGCTCATGGTGATCTCCTCCACGTCGGAGCTGGAGGAGCCGGCCGAGTGGACGCTGAGCGCGTCGGCGATGTCCCCGCCGCTGAGGTAGGGGCTACACCTGAGCTGGTCGCAGGACTTGGAGTGGGAGCTGCCGCTGGTGCTCAGCTCCGTGCTGGGGGCCTGGCGGCTGGAGGGAGGGCTGGGTTACTCGGGGGAGGTCTCCCCTGGGACACATCCCCTCCCCGCCCCCCACACTCTGCTCCAGGCACCCCATTGGCTCAGGCCATGTGACATCATTTGGCATCACCCCCGTTGCAGAGGAGGAAACTGAGACCCAGGGAGGTGAGGTGACTTCCCGGGCCACAGGGCTGGTCAGTGGAGGAGCTGGGATCTCAGTTCCAGCTGGCGGCCTCCCGCTGCCCCCAGGGGACCCTAGCCCGTGGCACCCACTCGCTCCAGCGCTTGACGATGGCCGTGCTCTTCTTGGCCTTCAGAGTGTTGCTGGCCGACTCGGAGGGGGGCTCCAGCTCACAGGACAGGCTGTAGCTGTGGGACAGGGGGGCAGCTGTGAGCTACTGGAGCCACAGTCAGTGTCCCTCCCGGCATGTGCCAGCGGCTGGAGTGTGGGCACCCAGCCCCCTCGCCAGGCAACAGGGTCAATGCTGACAAGAGCCCGTGTCGCAGGCCCTCGAGCCTGTGACGCGCCCGGTCCCCGCCCGCCTCACCTCTCGGCCTCGCTGAGCCGCGCCGTGGCCCGGAACCAGGCCCCGAACTGCTCCTCGGGCTCGATGCTGTAGTTGTTGCAAGCGGACTGCAGCAGCTTGATCTGGGCGATCACTTCGAATTCCTGGGGCCAGAGGGCAGGGCGGGGCGGGGAGGGCCTGAGTGGGGTGCTGGGTCACCTCTTCTCTGCCCCCACCCAGGCCTGACCCGATCCTCAGCTGGGTTCCAACAGCCCCTCCCCAGGAAACGGTCCTGGGTGCTCACTCCTGCTCCCCACCCTCCTCTGGGAGAGGGTCTCCCTTCTGCACCCAGCTCTCCCCGTTAGTACAACAGGAAGGGGGAAGCCAAGAGTGTGCGCTGGGGGCGCCTGATTTCCCGCCCCAAAGTGAGGGCGGTGGCTGCTCACCTTCCTCCTCTTCTCGAAGTTGATCAGTCTCCCCTGGAAGGCAGACAGCCAACGCCCATCAGAAAGTGTCCCCATGCCCATGACCACCCGGCTCCCCTCTCAGGCTGCACTACCGACAGCGAACACCAGGGGGCAGGGCATGCACACAAGCTTGGACCTTGGGTGGGTCCTGGGAGCTGGGCGCTGGGGAGACCTTTTCCTCCAACGCTCTGAGGACAGATGGAGCGACTGAATCCTCAGACAAGAGGACCCTGCTTGGCCACCACGTGCCTGACCTTGGGGGGTGTGGCCTCTCTTGCCCATGGGCACAGCTTGAGGGAGGGGCCGTGTCCAGCTTGGCTACACTCTCCTGCAGCTCTGAGCCCCACGGCCAGATGGTGAGCTGGTTACCCACTGGTAAGAGGGGCAGCTGCCCCGACGCACGGGCCAGGGGCTGGAGCTCAGGGCTCGCTGAGGGGCGCTCTCTCCTCGGGCTTCGGGGCCCGCCCCACCCCGCCCCGCCCGCCCCAGCTCACTCACATACAGGTAGTCCTTCATCGCGGTGTCCAGCATCACCAGGTCCGTGAGAAACGTGCCCAGGTAGGGGATGGTGCCCTGGATGACACCCTGTGACATCGAGGTGATAAGTGGGGTCCACGCCCTCCCCTGGGAGCCCCTCAGCCTCGGCCCCTAGCCCCAACCCCGGGCTCCCACTCGGAGCAGCCTGGGGACCCTTAAGCGCTCATCCCCCTCCTAGTGCCCACGGCCCCCAAACCCTCCGGTAACCTTCCAGGCCTGGTACCTGGCAAACCCCCAAGATGATGGGTCTCTGACCCTCCCCGCCCCGAATCCCCCGGGCCTGGGTCTCAGGGCCTTGCCCTGGTGGCTGCAACTAGTCCTCCTGGACAGCGGCTGGTGAGGGACGGCCCTGCCAGGCCAGGTCTAAGGGGCGTGTGAGGCAGGAGGGCAGCGGGCGGGGGATCGGGAGGCCACCCCGCGCTCCGGGCCTGGGCACACTCACCGTCTCCTTCGGCCGCTTCTGGGCTCTCTTGGGGTTCATCTCCAGGGTGGCAAACTTGGAGGTCCCCTCCTGCCAGGGTTGAGCATGGGCTCAGTGAGGCCTTCTGCCCTTCGCCCCCACATGCACCCAGATCTGTCTAATCATTTGGACCCACGCCTGGGCAGCCCCTTTGGGACCTGTCCCCTGGCAGGCACGTGCCCTCCCCTGGGAAGTGAGCTCAGACAGAAGGGGGGTGGCAAGGGCCCTGCCCAAGGCCCCAGGCTGGACTGGGCGGGGAAAGGGATGCCCCACCCCGACCACCATCACCACCAGCCCCGGAGGGCCGCTGTAGGAGGGGGACAGCACGGGAGCAGGGATACCTAACCCTGCCAGGCTGCCCACCTTCTAGAAAGCCTCCCCACTCCCAGACCAGCCCATTCCCCGGGCCTCCTGTCCCTGAAACTGCCCCCACCTGCCCACGGCCCAAACAGGTGCCCCTCTCCCCAAAGGTCCAGACAAGACAGGCCTGGAAGTTTGCAAAGAGCCTTCTGCTGCGAGGCTCCGGCCACCTCACCTTGACGAGCAGCTCTCTGCTCAGCGAGTAGTTGTTCTCATCCGAGAAGATCTCCGACAGCTTCTGGAAGACCCGCACGCTGTCCCTGGGGGGCGGGAGGGTGTGAGCGCAGACCCCTCTCCTCGTAGAGCCCAAGGGCCCGAGCTGCCGGGCGCTGGTCCCACGGTCCTAGGGCTCCGTGGGCCTGGGGAGGGGCTCTCAAGTGGGTCACCTGGGAGCCGTTCCCAGTTCCACTGAGGGCTCTGTTGGGACCAGTTTTGACTTTGTGTGGCTCAGTCCAGGGCCTGACAGATAGGGAACCTGAGTCCTGAGGCAGAACTGCTGGCCTAAGGCCAGTGGAAGGTTTGCCCCCCCACCCCCACCCCACATGTGGGCCCGGCAGGTCGCAGGCTCCCGAGGGCAGGGCCCAGCCCCGGAGGCCCGCCCACCTGGACACTTCCTCCCACGTCTTCTTCAGCCGGTGGATGGAGTTGCTCTGCAGAGCGGAGAGGATGGCGTAGAGGGACGAGAAGTTCTTGAGGACCCGGCACTCCTGGGGGGAGGGGAGCAGCGTGAGGGGGGCTGGCACCTCCCCTTCTGGGTGAGATGCCCGGGAGCCCCCCTCCCAGGGGACCTGCGCCCCATGAATATCGCTGGGGGGTGGGAGGGACCTGAGCTCAACCCAGGAAGGAACCTAAGGAGGAAGTGAGCACGGGGTAGGGGGGTGGGGGGGTTGGGGGGAGACAGGTCAAGGTCATCGAGGCCCTGAAACGGAAGGGGTGGTGCCACAGACCACAGCCCTGGGAGGGGGTGAAGGCGGCGAAGGGCTCCCGCATACCCTGGCCACCTCGATCCAGTGCTCCACCACCCTGGCCCGGGCCCGGGCCGTCGCGCTCCGGTCCCCGAGGCAGGTGGTGATGACGCAGTTGGCCACACTGTTGAACTGGCTGACGGTGGCCCGGACGGTGGGAGCCAGGTGCTCCTTGCCCTTCTTGTCCCGCTGGGACCAGATGGAGCCCAGGCAGTGGTAGGGCACCACCTTCTTGAACAGCTCCTGGGGGGCAGGGGCGTGTCACTCGGCTCCGCCACACCCCAGCACAGCACTGGTCCCCCCCAGTCCCAGGCAGGGCCCTGGTCAGTGTGGGGACCTGAAAGCTGAGGCTGTGGCTGAGCGGTGGAGCCCCGGGGCCTTGTTCCCGGCCCCGTGGGCACCAGCACGCGAGGGACCCGGGATGAAACGCCCGCGGGAGAGTGTGGCGTCCTCACCAGCCACCCTCACTAACTGTGGGCACCACACCAAGTGGCACTGGGTGGCCCTGAGCCCCTCACACCTGTGCCCCTCCCTGTCCAGATGCTCATCCATTGGGGGTCCACAGCTGGAGGTGTGGCCAAGGCTGCCCTGGGGCCAGTACAGGTGCCTAGTAAGTGGTGAGGCCTCCTGGGCAGATGGGGGAGCTCTCCTCCCCCCCAAACAGCCAGGCTCCCCCATTTTCTATTGTTCCACTTCCTTTAACCCTCAGTTACTCTGTGCAGAGAGGGGGTGGGTGGGGTCCCAGCTCCACAGTCCGCAGTCCGCAGGGAAATGGAGGCTTGGGGATCAGAAGCTCGCCCGGGTCACGCGGTGCGCAGAGCTGGAGCTGGGGGTGGGGGTGGGGCCAGGGCACCAGCTCGGACCAGGGAACGGCCGTGTGGGCAGCAGACGCCGGAGGAAGGTGCGCCCTCCCGCTGAGCAGAGCTGCTCACCGCGTCCATCAGGGTGAACTGCTCCGCCACCAGGTCGGGAGCAAACGCCAAGAGGTGAGGCCTCTCCTCGCTGAGCCCGTTCTCTGCAGCCACAGGCGAAGGCCAGGGAGGCTCTGGTGCTGGCGCCGGCTCTAGCTCCAGAGTTTGCGACAGAGCCGGTTCCAGCTCTGCAGTTGCTGTTGGAGTGGGTCCCGGGGCTGGCTCTCGCTCTGGAGCTGGTTCGAGAGCGGGCTCAGGCTCTCTAGCCAGCACTAGCTCTTGCTCTGATGCCAGCACTGGACTGGGCACTAGAGCTGGCGCTAGACTGGGCGCTGGAGCTGGCGCTGGCGCTGGCTCCTGCTCTGAAGTTGGCACAGGACTGGACGCTAGAGCTGGCGCTAGACTGGGCGCTGGAGCTGGCGATGGAGCTGGCTCCCGCTCTGAAGTTGGCACAGGACTGGGTGCTAGAACTGGTGCTGGAGCTGGCTCTAGCGCTGGAGCTGGTGATAGAGCTGTAACAGGAGAAAAGTTCAGCAACACGCCTGCTTTCCCAAGACAAAAACCACGCCACTGCCTTCCAGAGAAGCCTCAGCCCAGGACGCTTCCCCACCCGCAGTCAGGTGGGTGGTCCGAGGCCAGTCTGTGCTCCCGGCCTGCCCCACGCCAGCCTCTGGAGGTTCCTCTGTGTCCAGCACTGACCCCTCCCCAGGGCCCCCCCCCATTCTCCTCACCCTCCAGCTCCGCCTCTGTGAGCTCCGTGCGCTCCAGCTGAGCCAGGAGCAGGTGCGCGCGGCGCTCCAGGTCCGAGCCAGGCATGTTGAGCTGCACGTAGGCCACCAGCTGCTTGAGGCAGGGGAAGCCCGGGGGCTGGTAGAAGTCCTCCGAGTACTGGTCCAGCCAGGTGCCCAGGATGGAGGAGATGGCACTGGGCGGGGGATGGGGGCAGCAGAGTCACAGGCCTGGCTCCCCCTCCATGCGGCCCTCCCATGGCCCCTGTGGGGGTTGGACTCTGGGCCCGTCCCTGTCCATCCAGAGGCCAGTGCCCCTGCCCACCCAGCCTGGTGAGCAGGCAGGGTGCCCTCCATCGACCGTGTGACCACTTCCCCTGCCCGGAAAGCCTGATACCCTCTCTGTCTATCTCCAGCACCCCCCACTGGACCGTACGCTCCACCAGGCCAGGGAGGGGCTGCCTGCTCGGACCTGGCACAGACTGGCACAGTGGGTGCTGCTAACCATGCAGGGAGGAGGGACCAGCAGGGAGTGCCCTGCCCAGCCGTCACGGCCCTCGTGGCAGCTCAGCCTCAGCTGCTGACCAATGTGCTGCCCTATTCTCTGTGCCTCGTCTTCCCTTGACACTGTCCGCGGGGAATGGGCGCAGCTGCCTCGGCCCCACATGCAGCTGGGCTGGGAGGACGAGGTGGGGCCGGGTGTGAGCCAGGCGCTCCCACACCACCTGTCCTGGGCACCCAGACAGGGACGGGGCAGGGACGGGGCGAGCAGGGCTGGGCGGGCTGTGGGGAGGACGGTTCTCTCCGGGGGGCTGGCTCTAGGTCCCCAGCCTCCCTCTGCTCCCTGGGGCCCAGGGCCCACCCACAGCTCCCCACTCTCCCTCCTGCAGGAGCCCTCAGGCCCCAGGGAAGCGGGGGCCAGGGTTCTGCCCACCCCGCAGCTCGGAGGCCCTCCCAGGACCCCGAGCGCACTCACTTCCTCAGGTGGTCCTGGGGCCCGCCGTCCTCGTGGGAGTAAGGGAGGATGCATCCGTATCTAGAGGAGGCCGTGAGGGCGTCACATCTACCGAACCTGCTGTGACGGCTGCTGTTACTGGCCGCCCGCCCCCCGCTGGGCCAGAGCCTGGAGGGCCGGGGTTTAGCTGCGTTTTGCACTGAATTATGTTCTGTGCCCAGAAAAGTGCCCGCATACAGGACGGGCTTCACAAATACGTTTGTGGGATGAATGAACCCCAACTGGCACCTCACAGATACCCGAGTGGGCCTGGGCCCCCAGCCTGCCCCCAGGGCCCTTGCGCTGGCGCTCAGGCAGGGGACCCCCAGAGAGAAGCTGGAACCTCTACTCAAATGAGAGCTGTTTCACCCCAGAGCACAGGGCGACGAGGCTGGGGGCAGAGAGCGGCTTTGGCGGGAGAGTTCAGTCAGCCCCCAGCAGTCCTGACAACCCGGGAGGTTGCTTGTGTTCACATGAGCAAACTGAGGCTCAGAGAGGGCAAGTGGATTTCCCGGAGACACACAGCAGCGGGTGGGGGAGCCCGTGCTGCGGAGGGCGGGGCGCTCACCGTTTGAACAGCAGGTCCAGGACCTGCTGGGTGGTGGTGAAGGTGCGGTAGGTGCACAGGAAGATGGTGACGTAGGAGAGGTCGCTGCCCTGGAAGGCGGGCACCAGGTGCTCCACCAGCTTCTCCAGCGTGCCCGCCTTCACCGTGCGCACCTTGCAGGTCTCGTACAGGCTCAGGGCCGACTCATTCTCACACTGGGGTGGGCAGAGGAGGGCCGTGTGGGCAGGGCAGCCGCAGGGACCCCAGAAGGGTGAGGGCTGGAGCGCAGGTGAGCGCCCACGCGCCCGGGGACTTGTGGCAGGAGGTGGGACGTGAGTGTCCCCCCAGAAAAAGGTTCTCACGTTTCAAAGTGGATCTGAGGGGGTGACCGGAAAGGCCAGGCCTGCAGGCCATGTGCTAGCTGAGCAGGACAGCCCCTTCCTGTGGAAGAGCATCACCCCAGTGTCCTGGCGGCACGGCCCACTCCAGGGCGGGAGGGAGCAGCACAGCAGGGCAAGCGGGCACTCAGCGCAGGGCGGTGCCAATGGCCACAGAACCCGACCAGGTCCCAGGCCCAGAGGGGCTGGATCAATGTGGCAACTGGCCTCCCCTCTGGAAGACCGGGCTCGGCTCCGACCTGGAGGGGCCACGGGCTGTGCTCGCCGAGAGACCAAGTTACAGGCAACTGTACCGAGCAGCCAGCCCCACCCCACCCTTTTTGGGGTGAAAACAGCCCGTCCTAAGTGTGGGGATGTTAAGACTCGGAGGTGTGGGAGGACAGACAGGAGGACAGCTCCACGGGACAGCGGGGAGCAGCAGCCAAAACAGGAAACACAGGCCAGACGCACAAACACTCCCAAACCAGCACGAAGGGAAAAGGGAAGCCAGTGGAAGTGGCCTTTCTGATGTTCACACAGATGTGTGAGCAGCTGCTGCACCTGGCCGTGCGGCCGAGCCCGGGGCTGGCAGGGCGGGGGGCGGGGCTGATTCCTTTGGGACCAGGACTGTGGGGCCCAAGGGCAGGAAAGCCCTGGGAGAAGTGGGTGCAGTCCCAGGGCGGCATGTGGAACCCAGGCGCCCCACACTCACCCCGAGCCGGCGCTGGCCCTTGCTGGCGGCGGGGTGCACCTGCACCTTGCGCAGGGAGATGGAGTAGACGACCCCGTTGACCAGCTCCTCGCCGATCTCCTGCGTGGAGCTCTGCAAAGACAGCGCCCGGCGCGGGCGGGGTCAGGGCCCTGCCGGCCGACGCTGCGGGGGGTGCCCCATGCACCCTGTTCCCCGGGGGAGGCCCCGATCAGTGGCCACACACACCTCAGACCCAGAAGGAAACAGGAGGACAGCCTGAGAAGGGGATCCCTATCAGGGCCACCCCCTCCGGCCCTGCCGGCCAGGAGCTGGGTGTGGACAAGACGAGCCCCCCCCCCTCAACAACCCGCTCCTGCCCAGGGTGCCCCCCAAGACAAGCACTGCCACTGGTCACCTCACAGGTGGTGCGTGGAGGCGGAGAGGAGAGCAACCTGTCGGAGTCACGCTGCTGCAGGCGAGCGGCCGCTGGGACCCCACGGCCCGACAGCCAGGCACCCAGGGGGACGTGCAGCCTGCCCCCGACCCCAGCAGACCCGCAGGATAGCCGCTCCTCCTGCCCAGCCCTGGAGCCAGCATCACGGGTCTGGCAGGTGTGGGGCCCCCTGGAGGCCACTTCCTTCCCGTTCTGCTCATTCATGGCCTCGTGCCTTCTTGGGCAACAGAGGAGTTCCCAGCTCCCTGTCAGCATGTGCGGGGGGACAGGGTGAGGAAGAGGACAGTGCTGACGTGCAGGCTGCCGGCTGGGGTTCTGCAGGACCCAGAGCCATGGGACTGGCCGGGCCAGGAAGAGGGGTCAGCCGGCTGCAGCCCGAACCCCGGCAGAAAGGAAGGCCCTTGTTTTCGGAGGCAGTGGCCCCGTCCCACTGTCACCCGGGCCCGGACGAGGCCACTGAGTCACGGCACAGCCCTCTCCCCGCCGGCCCTGCCCAGGGGAGGGTGAACTTGCAGGGGGGGAGGGGCCTAGGAGTAAAGATGCCAACCTCCGAGGGCTCAGGAGGAGCCAGCTGGGAGGTGCCAGTGGGCACACGGCCATCAGTCACACGGTCAGTGACAGCAGCTGGGACCAGGCACAGGTCACTGCCCCAGGCAGGGTGGGCGTGGACCTCAGAGGAGGCCCAGTGCAAAGCGCTGACTCAGCCCGGGCCACTGACAGCCCTGTCCTGAAGCCGGGCTGCGCGGGGCCCGGGGCCGGAACCGGGAGGGCTCTGGGGGGCCCGGGAGCCGTCCTCCGGAAGCCCACTTCCTCTGACCCGAGGCCGCCCTCCCACTCCGGGCATCGTACCAACGGGAAAGCCGCGGCAATCACACCGGCTCCGGAGCCTTCGCCGCCTCCTCCAGGGAGACAGCCGGCCGTTTCCTGGAAGTTAGCAGGGAGCCCACAGCAGCACCTCCCACACCCACACACCCACAGCCCACGCTGGGGAGGCCCAGCCCTTCCAGCAGGGAGGGGAATTCCTCCTCCTGGAGCAGAAAAACAGAAACAGATGCGCCCATCCTTCCCCACACCCGCTGCCTGCCTGGAAGAGCCCCTGGGGGAGGGGGCCTGTTAGCCCTGCCACCCCCACATCTCCTCCAAGTCCCAGAGGCTGCCTCCCACCAAGGCCTGGCCCTCTCCTGGGACTCCAGCCACATCTGGCCCAGCTGAGCCCACGGTCCCGCCAGTTTGGAAGCCGTGCAGGACCTGCTGCCAGAGGGCACTGGGCTCGAACCCCTCTGGAGCCCACACAGCACCTGGCTGCCCGGGCCTCCATCCAGGCCTGCTGGACAGGGCGCTCCCTGGCCAGGCTAACGCGCGGGCAGGGCCAGGGCCTCGGGTCTAAATAGCGGCTCTGCACTGAGCCATGGGCCTTGCTGGCTGGGAGCAGCTGACCGGCCCTGCCTGGGCGTCATGTGATCCCTGAGTCCTGCCCCCACCCCAGGGGCCCCCTCTGCCAGCCGACTGGGGGGCAGGGCGGGATGCTGAGCACACAGGCTGGGCTGGGGAGTCACTGCCCCCCGTCCTCCCTGTCCCCGCCCGCAGCAGCCGCAGGGACAACCCAGACCATGACAGCATCTCTGAGTGCGGGCACCATGGAAGCCGTCGACTGAGAGGCAGGCGCAGGCTCTACGGGGAGTTCCTGGGTCCCGGGCGGAGTGGGCATCTGTTCCCTGCCTCACCCCCTTGCCAGGGGAGGAAAGCAGCCGGAGCCCGGGCATCCGCCCCCAGAACCCACACATGACCCTGGGCCACCCTGTGAGCAGAGCGGGCCGCCTGGGCCAGAAGCAGCCGTGGGCAGCAGGCCCCGGGGACACTGGCAGGGGCTGGGAGCCTCAGATGTCCTGAGGGTCGGCGTCCACGGGGCAGCACTGAGCTATGAGGAGGAAAGACTGTCACGTGGATGGTGTGTCCTCAGGGGACAGAGCCTCCTGTCCCACCCAAGCAGGCACCCCAGGACCCTGGGACCCCCTCAGAGCTGTGCCTTCCAGCACCTAGGTCCAGTGGAGTGAAGGTGGTAGGGTGCCCCCAGGCCCTGGTGAGCAGAGGCCAGCAGAATGGGCACCCAGGGTGTCCCACAGCCCCGAGCCCTGGGGGGCATCTGTTAATGTGTCACCGGATCAGCCTTTTCAGGGTGGCGGGCCGGCAGGGTGCTGTCCCCAAATGACTGTAGGCCAAGCCCGAATGCCCTACAACAAGGGGTTCGCCAGGGCCCCCCGCATTGGGTCACCACTGTGAGCTGCTGCTTGGGTCCACCGAGTCACCGAGGCCACCCCGCGGCCCTGACCGGCCACCCACCAGCCCCCGGCAGCCCTAAGTGCATGAGGCCCCTCCCCAGAGCCCAGCAGACCCCAGAGCACGGTCCGCATGAAGGGCTCTGACTCCCAGCTCTGCCGAGCCTCCGCCCTCGGCCTCAGTGAGCTCGCCTGTGAAATGGGGAGAAGAGCGTCTCTCTAACAGGGTCACGGTGGCGGCCACGAGGCTCGAAGCCCAGACCGGCGCCTGGCACACGAAAGCGCCCAGGAAGCGGGACCTGCTGCTGCTGTGGGATGGCAGGCCCCACCACCAGCACCAGCACCAGCACCAGCTGAGGCTGGAAAACCTCCCGGGAGACCTGTGGGAGACCTGCCAGGGGCTCCGGGAACCCAGAGGGGGGCCAAGTCACCCTGCAAGTCTGAGGGTGGAAGCCAGCCGTGCAGCTGTCCGACTTTTCCTCCTTCTGCTCGAAAGCAGGAGCTCCAACGTGAGACAGACCAAGAGGGAACCCCAGGAATTCTAGGGACCAGGCCACACTCCGCCTCAGCCGTCAGGAATCCCAGGCACCCATTACACAGAGCGGGAGACTGAGGCCAGGAGGGTGATCCAGCAGACAGTGTCCAGGTTGAGGAGAGAACCAGGACTGTTCAAGTCCAAGTCCTGGCTCATCTCTTAGACCATCAGCCCAGGGCCCGGAGGATGAAAACGCTGTTCCCGTGTGACCCTGCTGGCGCGCTGCACTGAGCCCAAGGGCACAGATGGCCCCGGAGGGGACTCAAGGTCAGCCCTGCATCGGGGTGGGCCACTCTCCTGGTCCAGACACCGCAACCCACAAAGGCAGCCTTGGCTGGAGACCCCTCAAGGTGTCTGGTTTCCAGGGCAACCGCGGAGCTCAGTGATTCCAGAAATTGGAGTTTGGAGGCTGTGCTGAGCCCCCAAAGAGGCTGACCCACCTCCCCAAGAACCCTCCCGCCAGCCGGAGCCCAGCTCTTTAAATGTGCCGCCGTGGGGAGGAGAGATGGCGGGTGACGGCTGAGGAGGAGGGTGGCCCGGCCCCTGGAGGTGTGGGGTGGGGCTGGCTGAAGGTCCAGTCCCCACAGCAATACCACGGACCAGTGTCCGGCACACGTGGGCACTTCCTGGGCGCCAGGCCCTCGGCACACACACTCATCGCGGTTAGTCCTCCCCACACCTCACTTGATGGATGAGGAAGGAGCGGGAGGGAACGCGCCCAGGCCAGGAGCCAGGAAGTGGCAGCTGGGGCAGGGACTTGAACCCTGGCCTGTGACGCTCCTGTCCTGTGGAGACACACCCAGGCCTCGCTCTACTGGTGGCTGCTCCTGGTCACACGGATGCAGGAAAGAGACCAGGGCTGGGAAGGACTTCCTGGGGTCACACCGCCAGCCGGGGGAGGCAGGCTCACCGTACCCACTCCTCTCTCTGAGGGGACGGCCAGGCCCCCACAGGCCCGAGGTTCAGCTACAGGACACGCTGGGAAGCACCAGGCTGACCTCCCCGGAGCCGGGGCAGGACACACACCCGGGCGGCCCCGCCTGTCGGCTCTGACGCCGCGCCGGGCGCTGCGGGGACTGCCTGTCAGGCCGCCTCTCGCTCGGTCCTCCCAGAACCCTCAGCGGAGGAACTGGCACAGGCCCATTTTACAGAAAAGGAAACCGAGGCTCGGGGCGCAGGAGCAGGTCAGGGCTGCGGGCTGAGCCAGCCCTCCAGCGCCCACGCTCCTGCTTCAGCTCTGGCCCCCCACCCCCCGCCCCTCCACCCGCTTAACAGAGGACAGCATACGTCCCAGGCGTGACT